TGGCATCTTTTACAGATGAGCTCGAGCCATAGCACATGCTGTTTTCTTGAAGGACCATGCAAGGAAGGCTCCGTGCTGCAAGAACGCGTGGTAGGGTGCACAACTGGGATTCGCAGCAGGCTTCGGGAGCCCTGGGAATAGGGATGCCCAGGGTGTGCGGCTGCAGGTGTGTGGCTGTGCCACCTGCACCCCTGGGCTGCCTCCACAGCACTGTCACAGAACAACGCACACAAACACACAAGAAAACAAGCATTAACCAAAAAAACCCCCAAACCCAACAGCAATGCATGTAGCAAAAGGCCAAAGGTCTCCTCTTGCTCACTCGCACAGGTGTGTCTGTCTTTCTTTCATTCTTTCGTTCTCTCTTTCTCTCTCTCTTTCTTTTTCTTCTCTTTCTTTCACCCAACCGGGGGGTGGATGGGGAGGTGTGTTTGCAGCTCTCTGCTGGCTGCTGACTTTGCCTGTGTGCTGCCTCATGGAAACAGAACGGGGAGGCAGGGCAGGGCTGTGGTCATAACCAGCAACAAACACGGGGGGAAGGATTGGGTCAATGCGATGGAGCTGTTTTGTTTCACTCGGAGAAAACCTCTTTTTTTTTTTGATCAGAGGTGTTGGGTGTCAGTTTTGGGGGGTGGGTTTTTTGTTTGTTTGTTTTGCTTTGTTTTGGTTTTTTCCTTCCTCCTCCTTAATGTTTACACAGCCCTAAGAGGTTCACAGCCTTGGCTGTACCACAAACAGGAGGAGTGTGAGTGCTTACTTAACACTAGCGTAATGTAGCCGCAGCATAGGGTTTTTGAGTTGTTTTGGGTTTTGTTTTGGGGTTTTTTTGTACTAGGGAGAGGGGGAGGGCCTTTTACTTGTGTCCAAACATATCTTAGAGGACCATTTTAGTGTCACACTAACACTAAGACACTCTCTCTCTCTCTCTCTCACACAAACACACTAACACCCCTGCCCCCCCAACACCTATTGCTACACAACTGTTGTGGTAATACATTCTTTTTAAAGTTAAGAACAAGAGCTGGTGAAAAATGAACAGTTTGCCTTTTGCAGGCAAACACTCAACTGCTGTTCCCCCTTCCACCCTCCCCACCGCTTGTCTCCCTTTTCCCGGGATGCGCCTGGCTGTGGGGTGGCACAGGGGGGGACGCGGGTCGGCCTGAACTGGGCCAGCGGGACAGGTGGCCGGGGGCAGAGGGGGTGGTGGAGCCGGGGTTTGAAGCTGAAGGTGCAACCCAGGCACCTTCCCCAAATGCAGACAGGCCTCCTGCCCATCCTGCTACTTTGAAACCAAAGCTTGCCTCCTTTCTAGAGGCACCCTCCCCCCCCGCCCCCAAATATGCATATAAAAGCAGCTGCCCCCTGCTCACGGAGCAGCTCACACTGCGTTTCTCAGGGGTCTGAGGACATGTGACTTATTTTTTTCTTTTTTGGCCTCGTGCTTTCCAGCACAACCAAAGCATGTGGCCAACAGACTCGCAGCCCTTGTCATACGTGTTGTTACAGGCTGCCTCAAAAACAAAAAACTAGAGTAGAAACCTCAGCTGTAAGCAGAGATAAAGCCTAATGTGAGCTTCACTATGTGGCAGTTTGGCTTTCTAGTTGTATTTTGTTTTTTTCTGTGTGCGCTGTCTCTCCTCGGGCCCCACGTTTCATCCCCCAGCGCCTCCTTCTGCTGTAACTTACTGCCCGGCTTTTGAACAGAGACCTGTTTGGTCAGTGCTGACTCTCGGCGTTACACCTCAAGGGACTTCCTCATCTTGTCAGTCTTTTAGTGTCAAAGTAATAAACATGATGGATTTTCAGAATACGCAGATATCCTCTGCTTCATTTCTATTCTTTTACAGTTACAAATTGCAAAGAAATGTGAATGCCAAGGAGCGCTGGGGTTCGGCTGCAGGGACAGGGGAGGCCGGGCAGCTGCAGCACGTGTGACGGGGGTCTGGGGCGGTGGGGAAGGGGCAGAAGCATCCGGCCAAGCGGGGAGACAACCGTGTCCTGGAGAAACCCCTGGGGAGACGGTGCGTATGGGGTCAGGCATGAGCTGATGCTGGCTGAGGACCAGCGTGGGGCCATGCACAACGGGGAGTGAAAAACAAACCAGTGCCTGTAACGACTGGCCTTCTCCCACCCCAGTCAACATGGAGGAACAACGTCAAATGGTAGAGACTGTAGAGAGCTGCTGAATCACAGCGAGGGAACAGCCAGGGAAAGACAAAACATTCCATCACCACATGGAGAAAGTTCATAACAAATCACGTACCCAGTGAGCGTGGGCATCAAACTAAACCTGCCGCCCCACAAAGAGCCTTCCTGTCCCCGGGGCGTGCCGCAGCAGGCTGCAGAGCGCAACGGGTGCTCGGCCAGGGGCCTGTCAGTGGCCCTGCCCCTCCCCCATGCCCCATGGCATCCCGCGTCTCGCCTCCTCTCCTTCCAGGCTGGCGTTGCCCAAAAACCAACACAGCCCCTCTCTCTCCTGACTCGTGGCCCACAAAAGGGGCCATTTGGTCATCCCGGAAAGCTGCCTGGCTGCCTGCGCCCGTGCGGTCACATAACAAGCAATGACAAGGCATCATTGCCAGCAGAAGCACACCATGCACAGAAGCACCTTTTGCAGTTTTATTTATGAAAAAAAAAAAACAACCCTGAAGTTGAAATACAGAGTAACTGGAAAAAAGTCTCACAACATAGTAATAAAACATCTTTATTCCCTCTTAAATATAACCTCTAAGACTATAAGCCTATAATTCCTGTTAAATCTCACTTAATTGAATGGTCTTTATAGGCTTTCCTCATTGGAGAATGAACATTGAATACTGGCTTCAACACAACATCGGGAAAACAGTAGTACGGGGAATAAATCAGGAACTTCTGGTACCTCGGGAAACATCGCAGAAGCTGGCAGAGACACAACCAGCAGAAGGCGCGTGCTCGCGCAGGGAACCAGGAGCGGAGCGGGGGGCTGCACTTCCCCTCCCTCCCACCAGCTCGCGGCCGGAGGACAAGAATGAGGACAACGTGAGAGCCTGGGCCTCACGCCACACAGCCCTAGGAGGAGGGATGAGCAAGAAAACAGTGGAGGAAACAAGATGCGGCAGGAGAGGCTCTGGGAGCAGCGCTGCTGCCACGGCTCCCCAGCCAGGACCCTGCTGCACCTCTCGGCTACGGCTCCTGGCTCAGCCTGCGGGTGACATGAGCCACAGTCACCTTCTGGCTTCTAGGTGGATTGAACTGAAGTTAAAAAAAACCAAGATTTTTCCCATAAGTGGGTAACTTCCCATTCAACCAGCTATCCCCCTAAGCTGATGGAGTCCTGCTGCAAACAAAGGGAATTAGACCAGCTAATGGGGTGAGGGAAGAAGAGCCCCTGAGGGCCAGGTCTGCTGGTCCAGCTGAAATGACAGCTGGAGAAGTGTCTCATGACTCCCTTGAATTAACACAGCATCCTGTCCTGTAGGGTTTGCTCCCCATCTTGACGTT